ACCATGAGCTAAACGTTTATGCTAATAAAGATATCTTTCATACACAGTAATATCCTTTTGCAGAGAGTTGTTGACAGCTAACCATAGTAGCCGTAGTATATACCATGTTTTGACCAAGATACCCCTTCTAAAAACTCTTCATATACTTTATGGCCTAAGAAAGTTGCAGTCTTTGATATTTTTGTAGCTTTAATTTCATTTAAATTTTATGGAAAAATAATTCAGGAGGGTAACTAACTGTTGAGTTTATTCACATTTGTTCCCTTTCATTTTTTTTTTTTTTTTTGTATCAAATATATCATCGAACTTGTTGTTTGTGTTCACCATAATATTTTTAACCAGATACCACCTAATATGACTCAACAATTGATTAACCTCCTAAGTCATGAAAAATCCTAGCTGAATTTTTAAAAAACGTGTGTGAGTAATAGACATACATGTGTATGAATGAGATTAGGTCGATTGTGTTTTTGGACAATGTATATTTCGTAACTGTTATCTTAACGCTAAACCGAATAAACACATATAGAATAAAGGGCCTATTACTTGGGCCTATAGAAGAATCATTTGTCATGTTATATTATATATGATGGTTAGATTCTAAAGTCTTCTTAATTTTAATCTTATGAATATGTTCCAGGCTTTATAGTTTATATAACTTCTGAATTGGTAGATTGAGACGAATTTTCGGCTTTAAACTTCCAATTATTTCAATTTATTGTCAATCTGATACGATTATACTTACGTCTTATATACGATCGATCTTGTTTTTAATAATAAAAAAGATACATCCACTGTATTTTTACTTTTTATCAAAACTTTTTTTTACAGCCATTACCATATGGTAAATAATACAACACAAAACTCGAGCAACTGCCTGTGAACGATTCGAAATCTTAGCAACGGTTTTAGGTTTCAACGTGTCGGAAAATTTCTTCACCGCCGAATTCATTCCGATCTCTGCCTATTTCGCCATATCCGATCGATCAATCTAAGTGTAATTGAACTGTGAGGGACATAAAATCGAGGCGGAGGTGCAGCAGCTCAGTGAAAATGTCGGTGCAAGAGTATCTAGACAAACACATGCTCTCGCGGAAAATTGAAGACGCTGTCAATGCCGCTGTTAGGGCCAAAACTCCCGATCCCGTTCTCTTCATCGTGAGTTCTTCTTTTCTCTTTCTATGTTTTTTGTTCTTAGCATACGAAATTGTGATCATAATAAGTGTTTTCCTACCTTAAAATCACACGCTAGCTAACGATTTCTGACGAGGAGATTATGAGAACGAGGCAAGTCTGGGTAATTAATTTGTATTTGCTTGTTTGTGCAGTCTAATCATATGCGAAAGGCTGTTCCGTCGGTTATAACAAAGGTTAAAGCGAGGCAAATTCTTGATTGCAGAGGAATTCCTACTGTTGAAGTTGACTTGTACACCAATAAAGGAATGTTTCGAGCTTCTGCTCCAAGCGGTGCTCCCTCTGGACTGTAAGTTTCTATACAAAAAATAAAAAAATCATATTTTCTAAGTTCCTATCGGTGGAAAAGCAGATGAAGGCATACAACCTGGTTCATTCTGTTTGATGAAATCGTTAACTTATGTTTAGTTCCAAGTGATTTCTTTGACTTTGTGTTGTGTCTTATAAAATGATCAACGTAACGAGACCCTGAATTGTAAGAGTTCATTATTGTTCATGGACTAAGTATTGTTATTACATTTAGTTCCCAACCTACATTGTAGGATAATGATGCATGTCTTATTTTCTTGTTGTTATGTGTCCATTTTCAATAGGAATAGTTACAAACTATTTTCCTTCTCTTCTTCTTCTGGTTTATATGTTCCACTGGTGATATAAGAACCAGACTTTCTGTAATTTCTTGCATATCATAGATATGAGGCTATTGAGTTACGTGATGGAGACAAGGGCACATATCTTGGAAATGGTGTCACCAGAGCTGTTAGAAATGTAAATGAGAAGATATCTGAGGCTATAGTTGGCATGGATCCAACCCTTCAGAACCAAATTGATCAGGCAATGATAGACTTGGACAAGACTGAGAAGAAGGTAGCTTTCTCTTCCTCTTGATTTAGTTATGCCTGCAGAGTCATTAGTTGAATATATAATAGTGCCTACTGATTAATGTGGCATTAAAGGGATGTCATTGGAACAAAAATTACTTTTTTTCTTCTCACCAAAAAAGGTGTGACAGGGCTCTCAACCTCTCGTCTGTGAAAAAGACGCGTATACCCTTCTCATCCTCATCTTTAAAAATAACCCTAAATCCATTTCCATCCCATCTAATCTCTTACCTGTGCAGTCACTGGCATGTCTCTTGGTAGAATGGTAAATGAATCTTTTGTGGAATGATGGTGTTCACTTATGACATATGTTGTATTGGATTTGGATGTTCCTGTTTTTTGAAATTGTAACATCTTTTGTAGCATTGTTTTCATATCTTATAATTTATCCAGGGTGAACTTGGAGGAAATGCAATATTAGCTGTGTCAATGGCTGCTTGCAAAGCTGGAGCTGCTGAGAAGGAGGCATGCACAATCTAATAATTTATTTGATCTTCATCCAAAATAATATCACTCATATATAAAAAGTACAAAATGTTATTTTCAGGTTCCACTTTACAAACATATTGCTGATCTTTCTGGCAGAGGAAACCATGTCCTTCCTGTTCCTACCTTCACTCTAATAAATGGTGGAAAACATGCTGGGAACAATTTGGCTATAAGAGTAAGCTGGTTTTCAGTTACATATTTATCTATTTAATTGGTATAATTTTGTTTCTTTGGACATATATTCATCATTTCTTGTAAACATTTCTAGTAAGTTGGCAAAGTTATTACCTTTTTGTGCTGATTTGTTTAAAAAAACAAAAATCAGGACATAATGATACTTCCAATTGGAGCAAAAAGATTCGAAGAGGCAATGCAAATGGGTTCCGAGACATATCATCACTTAAAGGTATAACCTAATCCAATCAACTTCATCCATGTGATTTATTAATTGGATACATTATCATTCACATACGTGTAGCCATCACTATGTTAGTCCAAGTGTAGCATTTCTTGATTTATCTGTGTTTTTTTTTTTTTTTTTTTTTTTTCATATGCAGGCTGTTATTACAGAGAAATATGGTGCACAGGGATGTAATGTTGGTGAAGATGGTGGTTTTTCTCCTAATGTCTCCAGGCATGTCTTTTTTATCAATACACCATGATTATGAATTATGATGTGATCTTTTTAAAAGGCTTTGATTTGATTGATTTTTGCAGCTTTAGAGAAGGATTAGATCTTGTAAAGGAGGCGATTAACAGAACAGGGTATAATGGTAAAATCAAGATTGCAATTGATGTTGCTGCTACAGATTTCTGCATAGGTAATAATGCTCATCATTCCTCTCAACATGGGCTTCATGCAACAAATAACAACCTACTCATTGTACTTTTGTTTTCTTCCTATTCCAACTTTGAAAAATCTACCTAGTTATTTCCTATGATAACTGAGTAGATATTCATGTCATTGATCAGTTGACATTTATATATATAGGTACAAAGTACGATTTGGATTATAAATCTCCTAACAGATCAGGACAAAACTTCAAGTCAGGAGAAGATATGGTTGAGATGTACAAAGAACTATGTAAAGGTATATGTTTTCAAGATAGTTTTTGACTTAATTGCTTAATGCAAGTACATATGTCTAAATTATTATTTTTAATAAATTCTGTTGGGCATTATTAGAGTATCCTATTGTCTCCATTGAAGATCCGTTTGACATGGAGGACTGGGAACAAGCCAAGTATTTCACTGGGCTTGGAATTTGCCAGGTAGGCTTGTTGACCAATGGTTTTGAAGTCAGATATTTCTAATATTAATATTGTTTAAAATGCATTTGATTTTGATGTGTGAAGGTTGTGGGAGATGGGTTGTTGATGTCAAACTCAAAACGTATCGAGAGAGCCATTCATGAACGTGCTTGCAATGCCCTTCTTCTCAAGGTATAAATGATAAACAGAAAACAACTAAATATATATGTATATTAAAAAATATATATATATATATATATATATATATATATATATATATATATATATATATATATATATATATATATATATATATTTTGGATTTTGATGATGAGGGGGGTGTTTGGAAGGGCAGGTGAACCAGATAGGGACAGTGACAGAAGCGATTGAAGTGGTGAAGATGGCAAAGGATGCTGAATGGGGGGTGGTGATATCACAGAGAAGTGGGGAAACAGACGATTCTTTCATTGCTGACCTGGCGGTTGGTCTTGCCACTGGTCAAATCAAAGCAGGTGCTCCTTCTCGTGGAGAGCGCTTAGCCAAGTACAATCAGGTAAAAAAAACTAATCAATGCAACAATTCTTTCAAGTTTGAAATCTATATACCATTTATAGCATATATATATATACATGTTATGTAGAAGAATTTTCACTAGTTATCTCTTTATAATATGTTATGAACAAACAGGAAGTCTGTTTATATGTAATTTATATAGATTCAAAGGAACAAGAAAACTTGTATTGATTATTGAACCAATGTTTTTATGCAGCTGATCAGAATCGAAGAAGAGCTTGGCGATCAATCGAGTTATGTTGGTGATGACTGGAAGCAGTCATGATTTTTTTTTTTTTTTTTTTTTTTTTCTTAAAGATAAAGAAATACCAACTTTTTTATTATATTTTGCGTCACAGAAGGCAGTACCATTTTCCATTCTATATAGATAACCTTTACGAGATTTGTGGTCACATGATATAAATTTTTGGCATTTCGTATATGGTCGTTTGTTGTATTCAATTTTTTATTAAGATATGTGATCAAAATGTGGAATATCTTGTTTCCTTGATTTTGTCTATCAAGTTGTTCTTTTTGCATTAAGTGGGAAAATAAACTCTTTGTGTACATATAACTT